CATGTAATAACTATGTAGGTTAATATACTATACACACTATAGACTCTCACTAGATCATAAGACAGCCTCAATCGGATAGTAGGTCTCATGCAAGCGCACACAAGGTGGTCATGAGTACCTTTTCTATCAGGGCACACACATCTCTATGTCCAGCTACTCATCTCATCTGGCAATATATATACGCCAACCCTAACCATCGATCTTGAGATCTCAAGCTCGTATCGAGGTACCCAATTAAAATATACATATATAAATAACTATAGTCATATCCTGACAATAGTACAATTTAAGATCATAACAATATCCTGACAATGGTATGACAAAATGTATAGGTTTAGACTTAATAGCCAGCCCATATATGTATCAGCAAGCCATATCCTAACAATGGTGCTGCTAAGACCATATCATGACAATGGTCCTCCATCATACACTTCTATACAAGTATGTATAAGTTCATACACATATACAGTCACATGCATAACTATAACCATCCCATCATCTGTAACAATTTTATAACAATTTAATTAGCAAAATCATTATACAAATATCTTATTGGACAAACAGGTTTTAACCATTGTCATGAGTAACCTTAGTATCAAAGTATCATCTACAATGATTGATATACTAAATAGTCATTTTATAGTTGTCATATAAATAACTCACCACTTTCTGTAAAATCCTTATACTATCATAATAAAATAATAATAATAAATAAATAAATAAATGTTATAAACAATAATAATCTTGTTAAATGACTAATAAAGCCCAATTTTACATCAACTCATCATTTAAATATGACTTTAACTAAATCATAGAGATATGTATTTGCATATATAACTACACCTAAATCAATTGTATATATAAGATCATATCGACATATATGTAAAATCAATTGTAATTATACATATCAGTAAACTTTTCATGGAAAAACAAAATAAATATTAATGAACTTTTGTCCTTTTCCTTAAAACAAATAAGATTAGGCAATTTAATTATTATATTAATATCTATCACTCTAACATCCAAAATCCCAATATGTCACCAATTAATAACATTCAATTGAGTTTGATTACAACATTATATTATAAATATAGATATGTAGAATCCAACACAATTCATATATCATTGTAAAGGGTGTTGTTTTTTTCTTTTTTTCTTTTTTTCTTTTTTTTTTTTTAAATTAAACATTGGAATCCTTCTAAAGATGGACCGAACACAAGGTCAAAGAGGAAGAATAGAACAAGGACTTTGTGATGTCTCTGATTTTTCAGCATTTTCATTTTTTTTCCAATAATTCGTGGAGACAAGGGTATTTCTGTCTTTTCATGTTGTCGTTCGGGATTGTGGTTGGGTCCATTTGCATTTTAGGCATTTTAGATTATGTGGATTAAGTGGTATTTGTATGTGGTGCATTGTACATGTGCATGTGGTGTAAATTGAAATTAAAGAAAAAGATAAAAGAAATTCAAAGTGGTGGGACCCACCATTAAGCACCAAATGGTCTAGAGACCAATTCTATTTCACATTTTTCTCTCTCCTCGTCCATTTCTTCTTCTCTCTCTTTCTCCTTCATTTTTCCTTTCCTTTTGAAGCAATCTTTGAAGCTTCATAACTCATTCAATCTTTGGAGTTTTGGAGTACCGTTTGAGGCAAAACGGAGAGCACGACGAGCTCTATGCATCCATACCAACAATTTCAGTTTTGAGCCTTCCTTTGGAGTTCGAATTTGAGGACCCATCTTTAGGGTTTTGGTGCAAACTTGAGGTAAGGGCCCTTAATCCACTTCCTTCTTGTTCCATCGTGAGTTATATCTCCTTTGTGTGATAAACATGTTTAATTTGAGAGTTAACTGTTTCAATGTTGTGTAATTGATGTCTAGAGAAATTCATGATTTTGATTATGATTTGTTCTATGTGAAAAGCATGTTGTGGTGATAGTTTTGTTGTGTTTAATGTGTTGATGACTCAATTGATGATGTTGAATATGATATATACTTAGTTGTGAAGTAATTATAAAATGTAAAACTTCTACATGCCATAATATTGTAAGCTTGAGACACATATACATGTACATGCCATTGGGTTGCATGAAATGGGAGAAATCAGTTTTTGAAATGAAAACGGGAATTTTGGGAGAAGAGTTTTTGTGAAATGGTTTTGATAAACCCGGTCACTGCGGGGTTACCAATGGGTCGGAGGTTAATATAGCCTAGAGGGTACTAGGGAGTTGCCCTAGCGTGGTTGAGCTAGCTGGGCCCCATAATGACGCCGCGGGGTTACCAAGGGTCAGGGACACTAGCCAATCCTCCTCTCGTGTCGCGGCGGAGTTACCAAAGGGCGGGCTGTATTAACAGTTGAAAAGTATGGTTTTGAGAAATGAAAATGGGGAGTGACATATCATGCATTGTATTTCATTGCATTGCATTGTTTACACTTGGAATTGACATTGAAGTTGTTTTAACCCTACATTGTATGATCCCCATTTCCTATTGGCCTATGCTTTGATTGGATTCACAAGGACACAAGATGTGTGTCTTAAGTGTCACTTACTGAGCATATAGCTCACCCTACTATATATATATATTTTTTTTTTTCAGGTCTTGGAAAAGAACCGGCGGATGCTAATCCACCTCAAAATTGAAAGTTGCTAGAAGATGATTTTTTTTGCTATCTTGTATTTAGTTATTTCATGTGTAATTATAGCTTTGGGAATGTAATTAGGTTTGTGAATGATCCTTAAGAAAATGTAATTAAGTATTACTCACTCAAAATCAGTTTAGTATATTTTAGTGACGTGTGGTAAAAATTATGTTAATAACGTGGTTGTTGTACTCCAATTTATTGTTGAAATGTATTAATTTTGCACGTAAGTGTTGTGACGTGGGTGGTTGAACGATCAAAAGTTGGTGTACAGGAGTTACACAGGACAGTGGAAAGTGGGAGTGAAGATTTTCCAGAACTGGTCGACGTATAACCCAAACCGATCGACCCGTATCTTCACAGTATGTTTGAGTTATTGCCGTCCCAAACCAGTCGATGGATGGCATCCTATACGTCGACCGATATCTCAAACCAGTCGACCGGTATCTTGGCAGTGGGTTTTCCCACTGTTCATATCCCAAACCAGTCGACGTATAAGGAGTATACGTCGACCGGTTTTGCCTTTTCATGTAATTACCAATTTAAGTTCTTAAAATTACACTTGGCACCCATTTGAAGTTGAAATTAATTATTTTTATGACCCAATTAAATGCCATAATTATATTTTTGCCCCGAACCTTATTTTATTTATTATGCGGTACAAGTAAAGGACTGTTTTACCCTTGAGTCTCAATTTATGGATTCATGGCAAATCACCAATTTGCCCTTTTTAGACCTTGTTATTTAATTTTGACGTAAAATTACCATTTTACCCTTGGATGATTTTGGGTCGGGTAAGGACCCGTTTAATGATCCGGATCCATGAGGATTTGGGTCGTTACAGACTGGTATCAGAGCAAGGCTTCGAAAACCTTTGGGACGACGGGTAGAGGCCTACATAGAGTTGCGTGGGGTGTTGTTTACATTGTTTACGTGATTCCTTGCTACGTGTTTATTTATTTGAACAAGTATGTTTAACTGTCTATATGCTTATGTGCCTAAATGTTACGTTAAAGTGTTTCTTATATAGTTGTGCATGCTAAGTGTTGATATGTCATTATTTTATGTTGAGTTGTCCACGGTGGACTTTAGCGTCATGTTTTTGAACCATTCTCTCGTTTTTATAACACGATGTCACGACGTGAAGAATTAAGGGAAGTTGGCCCTAGGCCAACAAGGGGTGACGTTGGCGAGAGCTCTAGCTCCAATCCGGCGGAGCTAAACGATGAGGACAAGCTTCTTAGGGACTTGATTCCCCCAAGAGTTGTTCCCCCGAGGAGGGATAATGTTGAAGCACCCGTAGAAGTGGGTGAAGGTTCTGTGGCACTGGAGTTTAATCGTTTGTTGCAAAATGTTGTGAGGGCAACAATTGCTGCTCAGTCACAGTCGGCACCACAACCTACAGTTCAAGTTGAGGAGACGCCAACTCAGAAGCGTCTCAAGATCATTAAAGGTTTTTCTCAGTTGATGCCAGTTATGTTCGAGGGCGGTGCAGATTTAATGGTAACAGATGACTACCTAGATCAGGTTAAGACTCAGTTGACCTCAATGGATGTGACGGAGGATCATTTGAAGATCATCCTAGCTACTTACAAGTTTACTAAAGATGCCAAGGTTTGGTGGAAGTCAGTCACCAACCAGTATAAGGTGGAGGAGATGAGTTAGGACAGGTTCAAGGAACTGTTCTATGAGAAGTATTTTTCGTTTTTCAAAAGATGGGAGTTACAAGACCAGTTTCATAACCTTATTCAAGGGAGCATGTCAGTGGCAGAATATGAGAACAAGTTTACTTCACTCTCCCGTTTTGCTCCAGAAATGGTGAGAGATGAAGCTTGCAAGACTCAGAAGTTTGTTTCTGGTCTTAATGATCGGATGAGGCCGTTGATCACAGCGCAGTTCATTAAGGTTTAATCGGAAGCAGTAGAAAGGGCATTAATGTTGGAGGCCGATAATAAAGAGAAGGATGCAAGAAGAGAGCAGTTGAAGCAAAAGAGAGGTGTAGGGCCATCATCGGAGAGATCTCCTTGGAAAAAGAGCAAAAGTGGTTCATTTCAGTTTCAGGGGCAACAGTCTGCACGATCTGCTCCTACCATTCCTATACCAGCTGGATCTGACAAGAGTGGAGTTGTTTGTTATCAATGTCAGCAACCTGGGCACTACAAGTCTAGTTGTCCCATGAGATCGTCTTCAGTTTCTTCAGTTCCAAGGACTTGTTATGGGTGTCGCCAGCAGGGTTACTTGATTCGGGACTGTCCTAGTTAGGGAGCAGGTACTGGTAGTGGCAGAGGGTCACGACAGAGGCCGTCACAGTCGGCTACAGTTTAGTCAGGTTTCAGACCACCGCCACCACCTCAGCCTGCCATGTCTTCTCAGGGTTCTCGTCCAGCTAGGAGGGATACCCCTACTGTGTCGGCACAGCAGTCTGGTGTTCAAATTGGTGGTTCTGAAGCACAGGCACAGCAGGGACGTGTCTTTGCACTTGCACCGACTAATCCATCTCCTGGACCGTCAGTTCTCCGAGGTATATTTCCAGTGTTTGGTTCTTGGGCCCGTATTTTGTTTGACTCTGGTGCATCTCACTCTTTTATTTCATCACCATTTGCACTTGCATCGGGGTTATAGGTTAGTTTCTTGGATCGGGCGTTGTGTGTTGATACGCCGGTTGGGGTTTCCGTGTTTTTGAGTCGAGTTGTGCGGGATTGTCCCATTGTGATAGTCGGGCAGACTTTCGTGTTTGACCTTATCCTCCTAGAGATGACTAGCTTTGACGTCATTCTCAGAATGGATTGGTTGGCTTTCTTTCATGCCACGATCTATTGTTTCAGAGGAAGAGTCACGGTTTGCACTCCTGAAGGAGATTGTTTCTTTTTCATGGGAGATCAGAGTGATTCCCAGCCTTCATTATTGTATGGAATTCGTGGACGGAGTCGTGGTGATTACTTCTTGGCTACTCTTTTAGCCGAAGAGGAGGATGTTATGGGAGAAAGTTATCCGGCGGTTGTTCGTGATTCTCTGAACGTGTTTCCAGAGGATCTGACGGAGTTGCCTCCACACCGGGAAGTGGAGTTTACCATTGATTTGATGCCTGGTACCGCGCCGATTTCTATGGCACCATATCGCATGGCACTAGTTGAATTGGAAGAGTTGAAGAAGCAACTTGATGATTTAAGAATGAAGGGTTTCATCCGACCGAGTGTGTCACCATGGGGCGCACCGGTCTTGTTTGTTAAAAAGAAAGATGGTTCTTTGAGGTTGTGCATCGATTATCAGAAATTGAATCATGCCACCATTAAGAACAAGTATCCCTTGCTAAGGATAGACGATTTGTTTGATCAGTTGAAAGGAGCCAGTTGTTTCTCGAAGATTGATTTAAGATCTGGCTACTATCAGTAGAGGGTTAGGGATGAAGATATCCCAAAAACAGCATTTTGTACACGGTATGGACACTATGAGTTCCTTGTTATGCCTTTTGGCTTGACCAATGCACCAGCGACATTCATGGACTTGATGAACCGCGTCTTCCACGATTACTTGGACCAGTTTGTGGTAGTCTTCGTGAATGACATTCTTGTGTATTTACGGACTCGGGAAGAGCACGAGGTCCATTTGAGTATTGTTTTGCAGATTTTGTGGGAGCACCGATTGTATGCCAAATATGAGAAGTGTGAGTTTTGGCTATTAGAGGTGAAGTTCTTGGGGCACGTTGTTTCAGAAGGCAGAGTGTCCGTTGATCCATCGAAGATTGAAGCTGTTTTGACTTGGGAGCAACCCAAGAATGTGTTTGAGATCCGCAGTTTTCTTGGTCTAGCAGGTTACTACTAGAGATTTGTGAAAGATTTCTCCCGTTTGGCAGCGTCTATGACCCGTTTGACCCAGAAAGGGATCAAGTTTGCGTGGAATGAAGCCTGTGAGTCATCTTTTCAGGAATTGAAGACAAGATTGACTACAGTTCCAGTGTTGGTATTACCTAAGCGTGGCTTGGGTTATGTGATTTATTGTGATGCTTCACGCGATGGCTTGGGATGTGTGTTGATGCAAGATGGTAGAGTAGCGGCTTATGGGTCTGGGCAGTTAAAGACTCATGAGTACAACTACCTTACTCATGATTTAGAGTTGGCGGCAGTGGTGTTTGCTTTGAAGTGTTTGAGACACTACTTGTATGGTGAACGATTCGAGGTGTTCTCGGATCACAAGAGCCTCAAGTACCTTTTCTCCCAAAAGGACTTGAACAATAGACAGAGACGATGGGTCGAATACTTGGAAGATTACAACTTTGATTTACAGTATCATCCGGGCAAGGCAAATGTTGTAGCTGATGCCTTAAGCCGAAAATCTCGAGGTACTTTAGCCGGTTTGGCTATCCGGAAGTGGAAGATGCTTGAAAGTTTGGCAGAGATGGGATTGTGTTGTTTGGATGAGGATGATTATAATGGGTCGGCATTCTTATTTAGTCTTGTGGCTCAGCCTACTCTTGTCAGACGAGTGATTGAGTCACAGAGACAGGATCCAGATTTGGATGCCATTCACGCTTTGATCTCCAGTGGTGAGATAGTGAAGGATTGGACCTTACATGCAGATGGGGGTCTACGGTTTAAAGATTTATTGGTTGTCTCCACGGTTTGTTGTGAAGATGTTCTTCGGGAGTTTCACACTTCCCGTTTTACAGTTCATCCAGGTGGTACAAAAATGTATCACAATTTGAGACGTCAGTATTGGTAGAACGGGATGAAGAAGGACGTTGCGCATTTTGTGGTTAAGTGCCTTACCTGTCAACAGGTGAAGGCCGAGCATCAGAGACCGGCAGGGTTGTTGCAACCATTACCTGTAGCACAATGGAAATGGGAACAGATTGTAATGGATTTTGTGACAGGTCTTCCAAGGTCACGGAGAGACAATGAGGTTGTATGGGTCATCATTGATAGATTGACCAAGACGGCTCACTTTTTGCCTATTAAGGCAACAGATGATGCAGAGACACTTGGCGTTCTTTACGTGAAGGAGATTGTAAGGTTACATGGAATTCCAGTAACCATTGTCTCGGACAGGGATGCTAAGTTCACTTCGAAGTTCTGGAAAGGACTTCAAACAGCGTTCGGTTCAGCGTTAAATCTTAGCACGGCATTCCATCCACAGACAGACGGCCAGTCGGAGCGTACTATCCAGATCTTGGAGGATATGCTCCGGGCATGTATGCTTGACTTGGGTGGCAATTGGGAAGATCATTTACCACTTATTGAGTTTGCCTACAATAACAGTTATCAAGCGAGCATTGAGATGGCTCCATTTGAGGCGTTGTTTGGCAGACCTTGTAGGTCTCTAGTTTGTTGGACTGAGGTAGGCGAGACCGCTGCCTTAGGACCCGACATTGTACTTGAGACTACTGAGAAGATTAAATTGATCAGACAGAGGTTGCTCACGGCTCAGAGTCGACAGAAGAGCTATGCAGACAAGCGGAGACGATCGCTAGCTTTTGAAGTGGGAGACCATGTTTTTCTGAGGGTTTCTCCATGGAAGGGTTTGATGAGGTTTGGGAAAAGTGGTAAGTTGTCGCCACGATTCATTAGACCATTTGAGATCTTGGACCGTGTAGGAGAGGTTGCTTACAGACTCGCTTTACCACCGCAGATGGATAAGGTTCATAATGTTTTTCATGTGTCGATGCTACAGAAGTATGAACCGGATCCATCTAACATTTTGGATTAGGTCGATATGGACATTGATGAAGATATCTCCTATCAAGAGGGACCAGCGCAGATTCTTGACACACGGCAGAAAGTGTTAGGGGTAAAACGATGCAATTAGTGAAAGTTCTTTGGAGGCACCACGGAGTCGAGGAGGCTACTTGGGAGCTTGAACAGCAGGCTCGCTCTAAGTATCCAGAGTTGTTCTCTTCCCCAAGTACGGCTTGATTTCGGGGACGAAATCCTTTTAAGTTGGGGAGATTGTGATGTTTCTGATTTTTCAGCATTTTCATTTTTTTTCCAATAATTCGTGGAGACAAGGGTATTTTTGTCTTTTCACGTTGTCGTTCGGGATTGTGGTTGGATCCATTTGCATTTTAGGCATTTTAGATTATGTGGATTAAGTGGTATTTGTATGTGGTGCATTGTACATGTGCATGTGGTGTAAATTGAAATTAAAGAAAAAGATAAAAGAAATTCAAAGTGGTGGGACCCACCATTAAGCACTAAATGGTCTAAAGACCATTTCTATTTCTCATTTTTCTCTCTCCCCGTCCATTTCTTCTTCTCTCTCTTTCTCCTTCATTTTTCCTTTCCTTTTGAAGCAATCTTTGAAGCTTCATAACTCATTCAATCTTTGGAGTTTTAGAGTACTGTTTAAGGCAAAACGGAGAGCACGATGAGCTCTACGCATCCATACCAACAATTTCAGTTTTGAGCCTTCCTTTGGAGTTCGAATTTGAGGACCCATCTTTAGGGTTTTGGTGCAAACTTGAGGTTGGGGCCCTTAATCCACTTCCTTATTGTTCCATTGTGAGTTATATCTCCTTTGTGTGATAAACATGCTTAATTTGAGAGTTAATTGTAACTTTTAACTCTCAAAGTTTCTTGTTCTTGTTCCATTGTGAATTATTTTTAATTAAGCATGTTTATCACATAAAAATTATTTTTATGACCCAATTAAATGCCATAATTATATTTTTGCCCCAAACCTTATTTTATTTATTATGCGGTACAAGTAAAGGACTGTTTTACCCTTGAGTCTCAATTTATGGATTCATGGCAAATCACCAATTTGCCCTTTTTGGACCTTGTTATTTAATTTTGACGTGAAATGACCATTTTACCCTTGGATGATTTTGGGTCGGGTAAGGACCCATTTAATGATCCGGATCCATGAGGATTTGGGTCGTTACAGACTTGCCTCAAGAGTTTCGGGTCGAAACTCTACACCGTTCCAGCTAGCCTCACCACTCTCCTCCTTCCTCTCTTCCTCTTTCTCGCTTTCTTCCTCTCTTTCTCTCTTTCTTTTATTCTCTTTTCTCACCGCCCTCTTTGTATTCTTTTCTTCACTGTTTCGTTACTTACAGAAACCCACCTCACAACTTAACTTATATGAATATAAAACATAAGATAAAACTTAATTCTATTATAACACCCACCTACCAAATTAATGGCTCAAAACCCACTAACGCACGATCATTAAAAAAAACACGGTAATATTCTATTAATACTAATGTAACTGTCAGGTTTGGCTTTTAACCTAACATTAAAATATAAATAAAAACTAAATACTATTAATACTAACTATCATGTTAGTAAATATATATATATAAATTGTATTACCATACGTATATAAATATATATTCGTATATATATATATTTTTATATATATGCCTAACCATACCACTATGGGCTAAAATAACAACTACCACTATGGGCTAAAACGTCAGCCTATCCAAACTTCTTTCCTATGACCCAACACTATTTAGTTAGCCCATATTACAAGCCCAAAATCTCCTTTAATAATTTTTAAAAAATAACACTAAAATAGAGTAATTAATTTAAAGCCCTAAACATCTAAGTAAACAAAAACAATTAAACAACTATAACCCAATGACAATTAATTACACATTACATAAATAAATTTAAAGAACAAATAATTCACATAGCCATGTAGATAATTAAAATGAAAAATAAATACATAAATAAAACCTTGAAACAAATAAATAAATAAAACCTTGAAAAATTTAGGGATATTACAAATCTGTTTATGGACTGTGTGTATTTGTAAATGTATATTTAGTTAGGTAATCAGGTGAGGGAATTTGTCAAGTACTCCCTCCGTCCTATATTAAAGTACGATGATTTGATACTTTTTCACATGGTAACCTTCCATCCATACAAATATTGAAGTATGCAATAGATACATTTTCATTATGCTCAAGTCTGCAAATCAACCATATATACCAAAAGCCATACCTTTCTTTCTAGAGTAAATGATTCCACAAAGCAGTAAATTTTCTCATTCATAGGATTTGACAAGGGTGAATTGCTAGTGAGATACTTGGGGGTTCCACTTATCACCTCTATATATGTTAAGAGCTAATGATTGCAGAATTTTGATTGATAAGGTTACCTCTAGGATTGCCCACTGGACCGGTAGGGATTTATCATTTGCAGGCAGAATGCGGCTTATCAGAGTAGTTCTATTCTCCACCCAAATGTATTGGAGCTCAAATTTTATTCTTCTAGTAAGCATCATCAATGAGCTGAATTGTATCTTCAGAACCTTCCTCTGGTTTGGACCTGCCCTCAAGAAAACAGGTACTAAGGTAGCTTGGGGGAAATGTTGTATTCCTAGAAGACTTGGTGGTCTTAGTCTTCCTAACTTATTCTATTGGAACAAGATAGCTATCATGAAGCATACATGGCATCTATTCAGATAAAAAATAATAATAAATAAATAAAATAAAATTGTACGTTATGGGTCCTGTGGGTTAATACCTACCTCCTCAAAGGTAGAAGTTTTTGGGAGGTCAAAACCCCTGGACAATGTTATTGGAATTGGAGGAAAATGTAAGATTATTTATTTAATTGTGGCCCACATGATTTGGACATGTGACATATGTAATGACCCGGTCATTTTTCTTCTTTTTCTTTTTTCTCAGATTTTAACGGATATTTTTTTCCGTTGTCTTTTCTTTTTTGGGTTCGGTTTTTCATCACTTGATGTCGTCTCTAGTGCTCTGGAATGATTTCCAAGACTCTTTTCCTTGTATTGACAACTTCCTTTGGGGATTTTGTCATTTTCATATTTTATTTTTCCGAACACTATTCACATTTTGTCTTTTTCTCATT